CATGCTAAGAAAATCAGTGCCATTACACGAATTTCATCATAAATCTAAGTGGTTTTTCAGCATTTATTGTTACAGATTTCAGAGTTTTATTTTGAAATTTCGATACGCTTAATAAAATATTACTACGCGAATTAATTTCAAATCAAGCATTTGAATAAATCTTTGAGGCAAGCGTTCGAATTGCGCCAATTTCGCCATGAATTCACATTGTTTTTTGAAAAACTTTTTCAATCGGTTATACCCATGGATTTAATTTCACGATCCAGATAATTTTAATACGGAATTATAGCGACATAATAATCTGGAATCACGCATATGAGTAATCAACTATTTGATTTTGATTACGTTAGTTCGATTTAGCAGCGAACCGTAGAAAATCGTTATACGCAAAGGACGCTTAATTAGTTATGGTGTCATGTACTACAGGTATTGTGATAATTGGTAAAGTTTTAATAAGAACTAGTGGGCTGCGCCCCCTGCTCGATAACGCTTGCCTACCCCCGAAAATTGCTAAGCAATCTTATATGGTTTGTTTCGCAAACCAAGCTCGCTTCGCTCGCTACTAACTTAGGTACATTGCAAATTCACAAAATTCTAAGAATTCAAAACAATCATTCAAATCCACATAAAAACTTTTTTTAAAAAAAAAAATTACATCTCTTTAGTAAATACTAAGTCATTAAATTAAATTTGTATTAAAATAAATGACATGTAATTCGTTAAACCTATTAGAAATGTACCATAGTATAAAATCTTAAAGCGTAACAGCACGACTGAAGGCCTGGTTTCTTAAGGACAGGACTTTCTTAGGACAGGACGCCGTCAGCTGGAAATCAGCGCTAACCTCTGATTGGTCCATTTGTGAGTTTGATAGTATGCGTCATCGAACGCTCATCTTGAACTACAATTGCCGTCCAACTCAACTGCAGTCAACGTGACGTTAACCACAGAAGCAATGGGGGACAACTTCCAACAGCACATTGAAATCAGCCAAGATTTTGATTTTGACATTAAACATAGCTTCTTCATTAAACATAGCACTCTTCATTTAGCTCAGCTATAATGTGTTTTTTCTTGGACAAAGTCATTATTTGTTCTCTAAAACACTGGTCGACAATAACAAAATCAATACAAATTCAAAATAAATATTTGTTTACGTTATTAACGCATGTGCAATGCGAGATAATGCCTGTGTTGGACCGACTGCTAACGCTGAGCTAACAAAACGGTATTTTTATGGCGTCAAAATTAAATCAACTTAACGCTGACGCCCAGTCAAGACGCTTCTCCTAAGAAACCTGGCCTTGAGCTAACACACCAGTATTTTGTTGGCGTGAGCGGTACGAAAACGTCCCGCTGACGCCCAGATAAGGCGCTTGTCCTAAGAAACCAGACCTTTAGGACAGGACGCCGTCAGCTGGAAATCAGTGGCTAACCTCTGATTGGTCCATTTGTGAGTTTGATAGTATACGTCATCGAACGCTCATCTTGAACTACAATTGGGTATACTATAGCATACGTCACAGATCATGTTATTCCTACTAAATTTAACTAGTAAACAGCATTTTCTGCGAACCTGATTTCTATACTAGAATGCAAAGTTTCTTGACAATGACGTCACGGCTGGCGGAGGAAGATGGATAAATAAGTTCAGCCGTATATCAGCCAAGTATTTTTTAAATAGCCGTAGGGTTGTAAGGAGCAGGATCGAAATGACGTCACACTCTTCTAGCTTCCAATATGGCGCAATAATCGNGATTACGTTAGTTCGATTTAGCAGCGAACCGTAGAAAATCTACATACGCAAATGACGCTTAATTGGTTATTGTATCTTGTACTACAGGTATTGTGATAATTGGTAAAGGTTTAATAAGAATTCCACAACGGGTTTTCCGTAGTTTCAGAAAATAGGTCTCCACTGGTACCAAAGATAGTGTATTGATATTTTATATGAATCAGAATGATATTATGAATCATATGATATTATGAATCAGAATTGAAATAAATTTTCCCCACTTCTACATGTAAGTATTTCGAACTGTAAATTAAAGGTCAGATAGAGAAATGGTCATGTTTCAAAGACCTTACTAAGGTTTAAAAAGAATTTTATTTGTTTTAAAAGTTTTAGCTTCTGTTTACTGCCATTGATAAATGTATTTTGCTCAAAACTCAAATGTTAAAGGGTTGTGTTAGATACTAACGTAGGTATAAAGTATTATATTTATGTATTTATTGATTATTAAAACTGAATCAATACGAAGCAGTTTTAATTCCGATACTGTGCATATAAGTGTCTTACGGCTCCCTGAAACACATAGATATGCACCGGAGAAAATTACTGATAGAGGTAAATTCTGACTATCTTAAATTGGCCGTGAGCAATAGCATGACGCTAAGTGATGCTAAATACTGTTAATCTCTATTTCAAAACTAAAAAAAAAATTAAACTCAGTGGCGCGACAGCCCATAGAGGGCCAAGGCCCACTGTTAATCTCTATTATGATGAAATAAACTACAAAAAATGTGCTTTGCTGAATATAATAGCTTGAAGACACAGTAAAGGGTAGCAAAAAAAATAAAAAGATATTAAAATATTTTAGCTTTATTAAGTGAAGAGCTTAGTGGAAAAACCGCATAAAACAAAAAAATAAAGCAAAAAAATAAAAAGACATTAAAATATTTTAGCTTTATTAAGTGAAGAGCTTAGTGGAAAAGCCGCATAAAACAAACAAATAAAGCAAAAAAATAAAAAGATATTAAAATATTTTAGCTTTATTAAGTGAAGAGCTTAATGAAAAAACCACATAAAATTTTTTTTCAGAGAGGCTATAATCAAAACAAGAAAAAAATGGTCCTCGAACTATATTATTATCGATTTGTTCGAAGGTGGGACTAATAATTCTTTGTGTTATTTTACTAAACACTGCCTATTTTGAAAATAAAAATACTAATAACTAATGTGGATTAGTTATGCTAAGATTAAGGAGAGAGCCATAAAAATTCTGTCACATTAAACATACCCATATAAAGGCAATCTCCTTACATAATTTTCCCTGATTCATAATTCCCTTAAAAATGTCACTTTCCTGGTTCTTCCATTAGACTCTTCATTTGTGTCGGTATATGCTTTGCAGTTTTGACCATGATGTCTGTAGTGTTGTTCAATACTAGTATAGTGATAATTTTTTTTTATTCGCCCCGTGCGAAGAACGGTTATTCAGCTATCAGTAAAATATGAAATAGATAACAGATGGGCTAAATAAAGCTAAAATTCTAGTCGCAAATCAAAATTTATTGGTCGTAAATTGTGACAGGATTTCGTGAGATTTGAACAGGATATGACCAAACATACATGTTTAAGAAATGCTACGTGTTTGAAGAAATAGGTTTATCTAAAACTCATTTGAAAGGAAATTGATATAGCTTGAAATGTATATTTAAGAAGTTTACTAGATTGTATTTTTTTCAGAGCAGGCAAAAAATTATTTACCATGTTTCTTTCGTTTATTACTAATTTATTTAATGATATTTTTTTTTTAAATTTTTATCCTAGGCAATCAGTCATTTTATTAAAAATTATGGTGTGGTAGCCAAAGAAGTGGATATAAAAATGGACCTAGCACCCAATATGTTCCAACATATCTTAACTAAAATCACTGAACCTGTTTCTTATTCAACTTCAGGGAAGATGAGTGAAGTCAACTTACCTTTAGAGTTACTAAAACTTCCTTTTGGAAAATCAAACTTCAGTTTCTGGACTTTATTTACTTTTGTATTTTCACGTAATCCTCTGATATACAAAGAAGAAAACATTCCTTTCTATATTGAATACCAAAGTGAATTGTACAAAAAGTTCGACAGTATGCTGGATGAAAACTCTATTTTTATATGTCCTACTTTGCTCTTCACAGCACCTCGACCATACCAAATGATGATGTATTTCTATAGTATAGTATGGGCAGCTATATTCTCTTTTCTTGGCTTTCCTGCCACTCAGGTTCCAATGGGATTGACTCAATCTGGCCTGCCTCATGGAATGCAAATAGTAACGGCTATGAACAACGACAATTTGAGTTTAGTTTGCGCAAAAGAACTCAGTGAAGTATTTGGAGGGTGGACAGCACCAAGTTGATTATCCTCTACTGCAGGGATGGGCAAACTACGGCCCGCGGGACAACTGTGGCCCGCCGGAAGGTTTTATCCGGCCCGCGGATGTAATTATAACTTGCCAATTCATGACGAATATAAACAATGTACATCCATTTTCTTTTCTACTTTGTTTAAAGCTTTTTTTGTTATTTCTTTTTTAACAAAGTACTAATGGCCTTTTATTTTCTCTATATTTGTTTTACAAAACATAAATTGATGGAAATAGCTAGCACAGATAGCATCAATTGGTAAAATGTTGAAAGCAGAAGCCGCAAATTGGCGCTATCTGAAGCAGTTGTTTCTAAATATGTCAAAGTTTGAGCTTCACAAATCATCACCAAAAGCTAGTTTCCCAAATTTAATATTTCATGCTAAGAAAATCAGTGCCGTGTTTGCTACATTATATACATGTGAACAAGTGTTTGCAACTATGAACCTTAGAAAAAATCATTTCAGAAGTAGACTAACAGACAAACATTTAGCCTTTCCTTAGAATAAATACATCACTTGGAACTTCAATATAAGAAACTTTGAAAAATGAAATCGCAATTTCATTCATCGCATTAAATATTTAAATAAAAACTTGTATATCGTTTTTTTTTTAATTTTTATTTTAGGAGTTTTTACTTGGCCCACCAAACTTTTTTTTCACGTTTTCTTGCCCCCGACCAAAAAGGTTTGCCCACCCCTGCTCTACTGTGATTAATCATGTTTCATAAAATGTTTATTCCTCAAACATGTTCCTTTCAGTGTTAACTCTCGATTATCCGAAGAATTGAATGGCTCACCTAGCGCAGATAAGCAAATTCATGAATAATCAGCAAAACACGTAAAAATGACACCCATCATCAATTTCTTAATATAAATGATAAATTTTAGTATCATTTATTATCTGCTATCAACAATTCCTTTCGTATTTTCTTATTATTGTTGTATGAAAAAGCCTATCAAATTTTTGTTTTGTTTTTTGGAATGCTAAATGCTAAAATAAGACAGTCACAAGCAGACTTTTAACTCAGAAGCTCATACACTATTAAAAAAAGAACGCATAAAACAATGTTCGAAAAACGTCAATTAGTTCTTATAAACAGTTACTGTGCGTACACGATTTTTAGAAACTCTTATCAGTAACAAAATTAAAAATAAACTGCTTACAACAATTCTGAAATCAGGCATATGGCCCATAAATTATTGAAAACCCCTGATTCAACCATTTTCTTTCCGGAGTATAAGTATATCAGGGGTTATGTGTGGACCATACTCATTTGTTAGTTATCAATTTTATAACGAGTTCCAAGAATGTGTTGCATGTTGACTAAATAAATTGTTGACTGAGGTTAATTCATTCCCATTCATAATATGAACGCAAGGCAGAAAAAACTAATTTGCTATCTGTATCATTGTTTTGAATAGCAGCAATACGATTCAGAAAAAGATACTGCTTTGATGGGGGCCAAATCTATTCACACCTGGGCTACGAAATGGATGTTTGCTAGTATGTTGTTCTCGAAACTCTTAAAATAGTTCCATCTTTATGAATTCATTTATTTTCAAAACTAAATGCTATATTGTTTATCATTGCAAAAAAAAAAAAAAAAAAGAGAGAATTGCGGATAATCGGTAATTTACTGTATTTTTATCTGTATCTTTATTCTTACTGTAAATCCATTTACTCCGAAGGAATTTTGTTGATCCTAGGCATGTAGAGTATTTGCGCATGGTAGTTTCAACATTCCTGACTTGGCTTCATAATTTTGACATAGCTATGATTCAAAAGAGTATATTATGGATAACTAGTCAAATTTTCATTTTTTGTCCTAACAAAGTTAACTGTTAACCAAACTTGTAGCCAAAGTGTAAATGATTACCACAACTTTGTTACAAATCGATTCAAATGCAGGTTCTGAAACATGCTTATCCATCTCACACGCAGAAACAAGCAGAGCTCGCTACGTACCAACAAGGAACTCGTTGAAACAAGGCTTAAGATATCAACAAAAGTTGAGGCAAATTTTTACATTGAAAACGAAACAGTTAAGATGCCCCACTTATAACGTCTCATCCATTATTCATTATCAGAACTTAAAATAGAAAACAAGTATTTAACGAGTAAAAATAAATTAACAGTTTGTGATACGATATAAATTTTTAAAGAAAATAAAATATTTTTGTACTTGTTAACCACACCAGTGTAGTTTTGGTTAAATTCATAGACTAGAATAATTTTTTTAAAACTCAATTATTACACGTTTCAACTATGTTGGCATTCTGAAAATAGTATAATATTTATTTAAACGATGCGAAAAAGCATGTCCTATAATGGTACACCTTATAAGGCCGCTATTATCTAAAATAATAATCGGTACTAGATCTTCAACGAATACCAAATATTCATATATATATATATATTGTATCCTGGTTCCTTTGTATCCTTTATCCTGATTTCATTAGCACTACATTCTTTTCTTACAAAGAAAGCTTTCATTTAGCAGAAGTGGAAGACACGAGAGTCAAATCAAATCACACATGTAATTATGAAACTTCGGATAAAACAAGGAAAATTACAACTTTCATATTTCTTTAGCAAAACCCCAAGCAATCAAATTCATCAAACAGCAAATGTTTATTTATTATTCTTATAAAATGTTCAATTCTATGTTTTCTTGCAATAAAAATAGTTTTAATTCAAAGGTCAGATTTATTGTTTCAGCTGGACAAAATATTATTAAGCTCGAGACTAAAAAAACTAAGCTTGCGGAAGAAAGAAAATCACTTTGTGATCTTATAATAATTCCGATTAAAGAGGTTCGGATAATATAGGTTCTACCGTATATGAAATCTTTTTGCAAATTTCTTAGCGTTATATAAGAAGTAAAAACAAATAGTAAGAGAAATGCGAAATTTTTTGTTGATTGTTTTAGGTGGGCTGATATGTTTGATTATTGGTCCACCTAAGTAATTATATTTATCTCTAATATTAAAAAAATGACTTTAAAAAAAATAAGAGCTAAAGCCCAAATTATTTTTTTATAAAATTTAAAGGTAACAAAAGGTAAATTGAATATCACTTTTCAATTTTATAAGGCTCTCCAACCACTATACTTAACGTGCTTACCTCATAAATAAAAGATAGTTCATCTGAAAAATTCATTGTTTGCTTTTTCAACTCAATATATGTAACCTGTACTTTAAGCACAATTCAGGACTGATAGTGCTCAAACTACATTTTGATCTCATTTACTAAACCAAAAATCACCCATTTAATCATAAATTTTGCTAACGCTCATTATAAACTTTCGGAAAAAGTGTAAAATTGGCAACCAGGTAGAAGCATTATTTTTTCATTTTCTTTTATATATATTTATTTATTTTAATACAGCTTACCGTTACCGTACTTTTTTGACAGTCCCGCTGTGGACAGATCGTAAAGACAACGTTCCCAGTAGGACATCGAAGACAAACATCACTGGCTGCCGTCAGTAAGTGGGTGGGTGACCGCTTTCATCAACCTGCTTAGGGACCGAGTATGCGTGGTATCGGGCTTCGTTAAACTTTCCTACCGTAAAGCCATCGACTTCGCGAGCAGGTCGTTGGGCTAAAAAAGCAGGAGAGCCATCCCTTCTGCAGAGAATCAAAATTTCGATGGCATATCTTTTAATCTTCCTCAGAAATGTTTCCCAGACTGTCGCCAATAGCCCACTGTGCAGCTCTAGTACGACGTAAATAAAGCACCCACCTACCTATCTTATTTGCCTACCTAGCTTATTATTAGGGCTGCAAGTTTGTCGCGGGAAAAAAGACCCCAAATTCGCGGAAAAATCGCGGGAAATTTTGAAAATGACACAAATTATAAACATAAAAAAAATTATTACATAAATGATGCAAAAGACAAAAATTGCGCAAATAATAAAAAAAGCTTTAAAATACACAACAAAAGTATTTCTTTGATTTTTAAGCAATATTAATATATTTATTTAAATGAACAGAATTTTGGTACAATGTATTCTACATTGTCAGATTATTCTAATTTATCCTTCGTCTTTCATCACTTAATACATTTTTATACTTAGAAAACGATCTTTCTGCTTCAAAGCTGCTTTTAGGCACCGACAAACTTCGAATTGCCACTTTTGAAGCTTTCGGTCTTTGATTTCCAAAACTCGATCAATTTTCCTTCACCAACGCGCAATTCCTTTACCGTTGCTTTGTAAGAAGTAATTGCTGTAAAAACTCAAACATTCTACATTCAAACTACTAGATACAAGTCCCTAGTAACTACTAGTCCCCCCCCCTTCATCTAGAAACTGATCCATATTTAAGAAATCACAAGAAGTCGCCTAGGAAACATTAACTGGATATGTAGAGAGGCAGTAGAAATTTCATTGCCCAGTGCAATAGCGCGTATAACAATTTTTCTGTCTAAGATTTGATTTATAACATTTTCCATCTTTTGTGATTCTAATTTCTTTTGTACTCTTACTGATTTCAGGAAGGTAATTACCCTCCTTAGGTGTAGAAAGACCACCTTAGTTGACAAGATTGTGATTATCTCTTATTTCTGAACTATTTTCATGTCATTTTGCTATTGATTCACTCCCCTAAATATCTAATCAATTTCACATGTTCAATTTAAATTTCAGGAAAATAAAAAATTCTGTTTAATAAAAATAATAAATTTAAAAAAGTCACATTTTAAGCAATTTTCGCGCAAGTCAAGACATATTGAGAAATTCGCGGATTTTAAGAAAAAATATGACAATTTCGCGGAAATTCGCGCCGCGACAAACCTGCAGCCTTACTTATTATAAACTTATTTGGCTACCTATCTTATTGCTAGAAGGCAATCAGTGCTCAACGCAGTACTTACCCAAACATGGTCAAGCACCTACCCCATTGGCTCTATCTTTAAAAAGGTCGTGGTAACAATGCCTCGTAAGTTTGACCCTGATCAAAGGAAGTGGATAGAGCCTGAACAGGTACCTTTCTTTCAAAACTTCCACACCACATTTAATGAGAGAACTTTGTGATACGACAGATTTAACGTGCACCTTGGTACGCCATCTGTTTTGTGGGCTGCCAGGATCAAATTCAGAGCCCCAAGCTCTTCAACAAGCAGTATGAGTGACGCCTCAATCGACTTCGCCGCCGGAACACTGAATACAGTG